AATATGTTAAAAGCTTTCGTGGAATTGAATTGGTAATAAAAAAAAGAAAAACTATATTAGTAACAATATAGTAAAAATTTCACTATCCCACTTAATAATTAATTATTAAATTACTGACCAATATAACTGATTTCGTTATATCGCAGGAATATCGACTTATGAGATTTCGCACAATGCCAAGGATATAGAACCAAAAATCAGTTAGGTTATTTTAAAAAATGTGCTGATCACTATAAAGCATGGGATTCGGTGTACAATATTTACTGGCATGCAATGATAATGGAATTGGTTTGGCCATACGTTGCTTCAGTCTCTAATCTATCTGTTAATGGTTTTTTTGATTGAGCTAAAAATCAAAAAAATGAACTGTATAAATTAAAATATGAATAGGTATTTAGTAATAAATATTTAAATTTAAATTCCAATTACTAATATTAGATTATGCCTAGATTTTTTGGTACCTACAAGCAATTATAAACTTTCGTACCAGTATTAGATATAATCAACCTCTGCTTAAATTGGCAACATGTAGAATGTTTGCTCCTATCTGGTCTGCAAGACGACATCCCATTTACCAAGCAATTGAAGTAGCTGATGAAGAACAATTAATGTGTCTTCGTCCTGAGATTCATCAAATTATCGAATGTAATTCTGTTATAACACGATCAGGAAGGTCAAATCAACATCAGGGATTAGATGCTATACTTGAAGAGGTAAATAAGATATTAAAAACACTGATCCCACCTATACCAGCTCAAAAGCATTGGGAAATGGCTGCAAGAAATTGTACAAAATTTATGAAGGTAAGAATAAATATAATAAATATAAAAATATACAGTATATTATTATTATTTGATATACTTAATATTTTTCTTTCTAATAAATATTATCTTGATAGCTATGAAAAAATTGTTCACTACAATGAGATATGCAGATTCTGAAAGTTCAGGTCCATGAAGCCGTCCAGACTACGAAGAGGAATCACAAAAGTTTTGAATTCAGTTAAGAAAAACAGGGTTTCTAAATCTAAATCTAAATAATAGCTTTGATAGTTTAGATAGGAATAATAAATTAAGTGTACAAATGAAATTCTTTAGCTATAAAGCTCAAACTCAACGTATAAAATATATTAAAGGAAAGCTTGGCTTAATTAGTCCTGAACCTACCTGATCCATTCCTGTTACTTATGATGAAGCACAATTACAATTATCTGAAAGTTCATTGAAGAAAGAAGAAGTAGTATTCGCGATTGAAACATTAGTCAAATCCCTAAATGAAGCCAAACGACTACAATTTAGAAGATTAAAGTCAAAAAGAAAGGAGAATTATTATTAATTTTGCAACAAGTTCGAGATCTTCATAATGCAACTGATGTTGATGATGCGGCTGAAGAAACAACATAAAAAAGTAGCTAAAAAATACTCTGAAAATTAAAAAAAAAGATGGTTATTTAAATAGTCATAAATAAATAGCCTTTTCAAATATAAAATAAATAAAGCTACAAAAAAGAAAAAAAAAAAGGTATGTTATACTTATTTGATGTTGTATAGTCGACATTTCTGAATACACGCAGTGAAGGTGCGCACAGCATTTCTTAATCTAGCTTCTTGATCCTGCGTATAAAAGTTCTACAGTAAAACCTTCATAAATGCACCCTCTATACAACTATAAGTGCACACCCTCTCTAAAATGCATACTCAAGTTCTGTCCCAAATATATACATGCCTCTATAAATGCACTTTCTCTTGTTGATCTCTAAGTGCATGTTGCTAAAACTTGGCCCCGAGAGTGTGCACTTATAGAGTTTTTACTGCAGTACTGTATATTAATAAGCGCGAATAGCATTTTAAAAGTACTTTTTTTGCCGTCTGATAATCTACTATATATATAAAATTTGATAGCCAATCAAATTCAATTTCACGAATAAGTTCTAGAAAATTGTATAATGTCGATCGTTGTAGATCATATCTATATTCAGTAATACCAAATTTGGAAAAACACCAGACTGTACTTTACTAAGCATGGTGGACAATCTTCGTTACACAAACCTTCAAGATTTGAAATTGTGACTCAGAGCTGACTCAGGGCCAATTTTGTCCAATAAAAATGCAAGATTTTTAAAATATAAGTTTTACTATTCTTTTCTATTACTGTATTATAGTTTTTCGCTTTTAGAACAGTAAATCGCAACAATGTTAGATCTAATTTCTACTATCATACAATTATATTAGTAAGTTAACAATATTTAAATTATTATTGAACATAGTAGAGCAGTAGGCAGTTTTATTCTAATTTATAGTTACATGTTTAATAAGTTTACAGGTTATGTATAGTTAAAGAATAGCGATCTCAAGGTACATAGATTAACTCAAAATGCTGCAACAAATGCGTTTATGTTAGTATTTGAGGAATCGGGTTCTAAAAGAAATTATTGTTGGAAACTATGCATATTCTAACCGACATAACACTTTCGAAATGTGGTGTCAAACGTGCGATTTTCAAAAAATAATACAAGAATAGACAAGAATGTCGATAATAGTATTAAAGAACTTCAACTTAGGACTATAAAACATAAAAATGTAATAGAATAGATTTCTTTTAATATTCAAAAAAATGATGTCAAGTTTTTGTCAGGATGGTTAGATGGCATGCGATAATAAAAAAATAAATTACTTTTATTTTTGTGGCGGTGATAAATGATTGATTAATTACAAGAAAAAAATTATCTAGTAATTATGTAATTTGATACTACGTATTGATTTATTTTCAAAATAAATAAATAAATAACAGTAATATATCTTATTTCATATATTGATTAATACTATGTAAAAATATATTTTTTTTATTGAATAATACATTAATTAATAAAATTATATTAAAAAATATTAATGCTAAATATTCGCGATATTAGTATTCAAAAATTTTTCAAAAGCTGCAGGATAAGCTTGTTCCACCCTTGACAACGCTTGTTTATCTTTTCGAGGTACTTCCAATATATCATCTTCATTTTCTATTCTCTGATCTTGTGGACTATCTTCATCGGTTTCAACAATCTTTTCAAGATTCGACTTCGATTTATCTAATTTACTTAACCGTGAAAGTAAAGAAGAGATGTTATTCTTTATACCTAATTTGAGAATACTTTCACAATAACAACATTTTCCATTCAATATAGTAAAACAGCTCTCATGGTATCCATGACCACATGCAATAACCATGGAGCTTTTACCTGTCCTGTCATATAATAATCCATAACAATGATCACATTTGTCGAATAATGGCAAATGCTCACTGCTAAACCCTAACAGCATTTGTTTTTTGTCTACGACAAGATTCAACGAAGCTAATTTGTAAGTAATTTTCTCTTCCCTGCCTTCGACGATGGAACTTTGACCTAATCGTTGGTAAATATTACCAAAAATTTCCAAAAGGAACACTTGCGCCTTTTTTGTTAATAAGGTTAAATTATCTTCATCTGCATACGTAGACTTTTTTTGAACTACAAATGCATCTTCAAATACGATAATATCCTTTCTGGCACTAACAATCTTGGCAATCTTGGAAAGCTGTTGCAGAGTATCGGTAAAGGAGCTTTGTCGTCGTATAATACTATGCATATTCTCAACGAGATAATCTGTGAATTTAACTAAATGATTTTCCAATACATTTAATATAGGATGGTTGTTTTGACACCAATAAAATATATCAGAATGAAAAACTAAAGGCGCTTTATTGTAATTATGCCTTTCAAACCGTAAAAAAATGCACCACGCCCAAAATACGCCTTCGATATATGATTCCCAATCTCCAGACCGAAATAAAGTTGAATATATATCTAACCTGACCGGTACTGTATTGTCTAATAATTCAAATAAAAATAAAAATTCAATATCTTTACAATATTTTCCAAACTTATCTATTACTATCGGTTTGATTTTCTTCCAAGCACTTCTTACTAGCTCAAGAAGTACAAATATTCGATATGGGCTTGGTGTCTTGCTGAGCGCTGTATTTGTACTAAATATATATTTATACTCCATATTGAAAAAGTCTCAATAAGTCTTTAGTATAGACTCGAGTAGATTTAGCTAAATATGAAGGACGCCAATAACTGGAATGAAAGATAATATACTGTCCGGTATATCATCTTTACGGTTTAACAAATGAAGAGTAATTGCTTGGCGTGTAAATACCT